ATATTCTGTAGGCTTTGGCAAATGTATAATGACATGCATCCATGATTTGATAAGAGTACATCATACAAAATATTTTCACTGTTCTAAAAATCTCCCATGTTCTGTCTATTCTTCCCCCACCCCCATTGATCTTTATACAAATTTATATTTCTACAGTTTTGTTTTTTCCAGAATGTCAGAGCTGGAATCATTCAGCATATAGCCTTTTGGCATTAGCTTCTTTCACTTAGTAATGTACATCAAAATCACTTTTAAAGAGGTGATTTCTCAGTTAAATATATAATTCTATTAGTGTAACAGTTGATGTTTCATGATGAAAAATCTGTGCCAACATTAAAGATATTAAATCATAAAAACATTTCCCAGAAACCTTTTAAAATGAAGATTTGACTTTATATACAAGATTTCTCTTTAGCAAAATATGCATGTATTGCCAAAATAACACATTCATTAGTTCTTCTATATTATCTCAACGTGAATAAATTGATTTATCTGATCTTAAAATTTTCAGACTATAGACCCTTTCAGCAGACATGATCCAATTAACTATTAAAAAACAAAACAAAATAACTAGAAAAACCTCTCTTAGTATAATTAAACCCTGCCATGCTCCATTTCCTGATCATGTAGTTTCCTGATATGAAAAGGAAAGGCTCATTGAGTGGGAATGACAAAAAGTATACAGTATCAAGAATTACCAGGCTGCCTGGCATGGTGACACACCCCTATAATCCCAGGGACTCAGGAGACTGAGGTAAGCAGATCACAAGTTCAAGGCCAGCCGGAGCCATTTAAGGAGACCTGTCTCAAAATTAAAAAAAAAAAGGGGGGGGGGACTGGGTATGTAGCTTAGTGGTAAAAATGTCTCTGGGTTCAATCTATAGCACCACCCAAAACAAAAAAAAGAATTACCAGGCCTTTTCCCATTCTTCAGCATGACCTTCCTTGTCTCAGTAAAGAACCCACACAAACTCTTGTTGCCTCTTCAGCTCAAATGAATTTTTAGCCGAAAAACAAATCCCAGTAATCAATTACTTTCCATTGTCTTATTCTTGTTACCTGTTTTGACTGAGAATTTTACCCAGATACCCAAAACTCATATCCCAAAGTACTATCAAACTTTTAAAACCTTTGTCCTCTACTGATAGGTACACAAATAAGATTTGTTTTTGTATCAAGTAATGCCTACATTGGAGTGTTATTTATACTTATTTACTTATTTTGCAGTGCTGAGGATCAAACCCAGGGCCTCATGCATACTAGGCAAACACCATTAAGCTACATCCCCAGTCCTGCTTTTTTTTTTTCCCCCAAATAAATATGTTCTTTTTTTAAACCTCTGTTTTACTTATTTATCTTTATGTGGTGCTGAGGATCAAACCCAGTGCCTCACATGTGCTAGGAAAGCACTCTACCACTGAGCCACAACCCCAGCCCCCTGCTGTGTGTTCTTAAGGAAGCCATTCAACTTCTCTGAGCCATAATATCTTCATTTATATAAAGTATAAGTCCCTTGCAATACCAACAACCTTAATTTTATAAAGGAGACACTGGCTGAAAGCCTTGAGATTTAGTTTATGACACAGAGGATCCCTGCCAAGAGAAAAAAAATAATCACTGCAATTTTTCTGTATAATCCAAATTGCCTTCTGACATCCCCCTCAACTCTACCCAAGAATCATTGTTCAATGGAGAAAAGCATGTAACAGACAGGGAAATTTTGTATAATTTCATTCCTTAGTGTTTTCCTGTTATTGACATTTCCCCACATCACAGTTGTTCTTACAACTTCTCTAGGTAAGTGATTTTTAATGATAGTCTATCTGGAACTATCTTCTCAAGACCCAATTTAACAGCTACTTTTTGAACCCCACAACCTTTCTTTTCTGTCTCCCCCACCTCATATACATAGTAAATTTGGATAACCAGTAACCAGTTCTACCACTACCATTCACTGACTACCAACCCACAGGCCAAGATTCAAAGGTTCTTCTTTTAATCCTTACAAAACATCTAAAAGGTAGATATTAGTTGTCATTTTAAAAACAAGGGTACAGACTCATAGAGACCAAGTGAAAAAATAAGTGCTCATAGAGACCAAGTGAAAAATAAGTGCACAACTATGAAGAGTTAATTCCTTGACTTGAATCCTATACCTGACTCAGAAACCTCACCAGGTCACAAATGAATATTAACACTATTTAACTTCCCTCTGATGATTCTAAATAGTTTAGAAAGGGATAAGACATATATTTCTCTAACACAGGAGAGAAGGACATAAAGATGAATAATGATGTAAGTATGTCTGGAAGGGAAAAAAAGCTGAAGAAGTTCATTGTTGCTGACTTCCATTCATGCAGAGAATGAGGAATCCAGAATTCCAAGTAAGAAAAATAGTATTATTTTAAGGTCACATCTTGAAAATAATAACTCTGATTGTTTAACTAGTTCCCATTTACCTCAATTCCTACCATCATATTCCATATTCCTCATTATATTCTATATTTAGGCAAAGTCTTTAAAAAATTACCTCCCCAAATTTTGATTTTAAATTTGTAGGAAAGTTGAAAGAATAACAAAAATCACACACTTAAATACCTTTTACCAAGATTAACCTGCTCATACCATTTTGCCACAAATTGCTAAATGTCTTTCTCTTCACACATGGTTTCGGTTGAACAATTTGGAAGTACACTACAGACATGAAAATTCTCTAAATAAAGTAGCCTGCATTTTCTAAGAAAAAAAAAGTTATTTTCCTACATATTCATAACTATCACACCTAGGAAAATAAGCAATTCCTTAATATCATACAATATATAGTCCATATAGGTTAACATGGTATACTTGATTGTTATATCTATGTCTCTGTCTGTCCCTCTCTGGCAGTGCTTGGGATCAAACCCAGGGCCTTCTATGTATTAGGCAAGTGTTCTACCACTGAGCCATATCCCTAGTCCTATGCCTGTTTAATCTAAGACCATCCCCTTAATTTTTTGTTTTGAATTTTAAAGAGTCCAAGCCAATTATATTTTTAATGTATCACACACAGAATGTCTGATTTTTTTTTCTTGCATTAGATTAAGGTTAAACATTTTGGTAAGAATCCTATATATGTGATATTGTATACTTCTTATCATGTCAAGTCAAGAGGCACATTATGTCAAGTTATCCCACCACTGGTTAGGCCAAGTTTGATCACTTCACTAAAGTAGCACATGTCACAAAGGTCTTGTAAAGGCATATATTTTATTTTGTAATTTTTAAGTAACCTGTAGAGTGATATTTTTGAGTAGACATACATATGCTATTCTCCAACAATCTTGAATTCAATAGTTTTAGCATCCATTGATGATCCTTGACTAAATCAACTGTTATGCTTGTGCTGCAAAGTGGTGATTTTTTTCCTCACTAAATTGTACAACTAAAATGCTGAGTTTTATGGAATAAATTATGCATCAATAAAACTTTTTTTTAATTAACTCAGTAACTTGCAGTCTGTATGTGGTCCACTTCCTGCTAGCCTACTTTTCTGCCAAGAAATGACTGACAGTTGAAATATTTTATACATGTAACAGGATATTCAAGATCAAGATGAACTTAATAAAATAAAAGTGTTCTGCTGATTTAATTATGGTTTCTGAATTCTATCATTTATTCTATAATTATTAGTTGGCATACTTTTATAAAGACATTCTCCTTTACTTCTTATTTCTCTCTCTCTTTTTGGATTATCATTGGGAACTCATGGGTTTTTTTCCCTCCTTTAACATATTATAATCTATTACTTTTGTTATTCTTTTTCATGTTTAAATATACTAATGTGTCAGCAGGAATCCCTTGAAGTACAATCTTGTATCCTGATATAACCTCATTAGTCATTTAACAATGTTTGCTTTCTTGAACAAAAAGTCCGAAACTCACCCTGTACTTTCCTTGCCTGAGACCTGAGATCAGATAGTTAACCAAAAAGATTGATTCCTTTTAGTGGGAATGGTATTTAGAAATCAAGAGCTAGGTACTGGGTATGCCCGTTACTACGGTGTCTTTCATTGCTTCTAGGCCCTGTCTGTATATAGAACAAAGGAATAAGAATATTTACAATTCAAATTTATAATACAAATGTAAAAGGAAAGAAAAATACTAGTATCTCTTTTATATTTTAATGAAGACACTAATTTTTATTATCAGTTATACACACACACACACACACACACACACATTTGCTTTATTCTACCATATACATAAAATGGTAGCAACATTGGTATCATAATTTTATAACAATAAATCTATTAAGAAAGGTTTCTTTTGTTTTGTTTTTTGTTTGTTTACGATACTGTAGATTGAATCCAGTGGTGCTTTACCACTAAGCTATATTCCCAGTCCTTTTCATTTATTTATTTTTGAGACAAGGTCTTGCTAAGTTGCTTAGAGCCTTACTAAATTGCTGAAGTTGGCCTTCAACTTGCAATCCTCCTGCCTCACGTTCCCCAGTCACTGGGATTACAGGCATACACCACTGTGCCTAGCTCCATTAAGAAAGTTTAAGATTTCTCTGCAGTTCTTTTCAGGTAACATCATATTAAGAATACACTACCAAGAATACTATGTTCAAAAGTTATCTGAATTGAGTGGTTGTTACAGTTACGTACCTTTGTTTATTTTTAATGTATATTCCATGTTAGTATTTGTCTTTCTTCCAGTTAATTTTGGCTTAATTATAATTTTTAGTATATAAAATACTTATATGCTTCCCAAATCAAAAACTGAACAAAAGGTATACTTCAGAGAAGTTCTGATTCTATCCCAAGACCCTACATCTCATTCCTGTCCACCTTGTATTTTCATTAATTTCCAGATAATTCTTCAGAACTAATAGTAGGCATGAGTTAAGCAACACCCCTAAAACTGAGCTATTATGTGAGTATGGTCATGGAGCACACGCCATGACTTATAACACATTATCATAAATAGAACCTGGTATATGAATAAACTCCCACCTGAATTCTGATTAATCCACTGCAGAGAGTCCAGATGAGCATTCAGAATTTTGCAGATCTGCTGGAGCTAAAAATACATCCAATACTTTTAGATTATGATTATTCAGATGTGGTCAACAAAAAAATAAGTAAATTGAAATTAGGAAGTGATTTTTATTTTTTCTGGTAAGACATGGACTGAGAATAGACTAAATATTAATGGATTTTTGTTTCTTTTGCTATTTCATATTTAAAATGTTCATTACTTTTACATATTAGTACAATGCATTTACTTTTTTTAACTGTCAAGAATTCAATAAGAAAGTGACTGCTACAGCATAAAAATAAGGAACATTAACAGACATTTCATAAGAAAATAAATTCATATAAAAATTTAAAAAGCAACATTTATCAATCAAATCAGGATTTTTTAAATGGTGTACTCAATTGCCAAGTACAGATTAAATATCTGTTATCCAAAATGTCTGGGGCCCTAAGTGTTTTAAGCACTTGATTTTTTTTTTTAATTGTGAAAGCTCTGCATATTATACAATGTGATATCTTGGAGATGGATCCAAGTCTAAAATCATTGTTTCATATATACCTCATACATGTAGCCTAAAGATAACTTTACACAATAATTTATTATGCCTGTGTTTTATTTGCTTGTTTGTTTGCACTGCTAGAGATCAAACTGAGGGTGTTATGCACACTAGGCAAGCACACTGAGCTACATCCCCAGTCCAGCTATGCATTTATTTTGATTGTGACCCATCCCATGAGGTCAGGTGTGGAATTTTTCACTTGTGTTGGCATGTCAGCACTCAAAAGTTTTGGATTTTGAAGCATTTAAGATTTCAAATTTGCACATTAGGAATGCTCAATTTATATGTGGGAAAAATACATACATTAATATATAGCCAATAGTAATGTAAATTGGCTCAACCTTTTAAAATATACAATTTTATAACATATATCAAAAGTTTAAATAATCATACCTTTTGAATCAGCATATTGTATCTATTTCCAGGAGTGTAGCCAGAGAAAATAATCAAATCTAAATATAAGTGGTCATTACAGGGCTGTTTTATATTGACCCCAAATTGCAAAAATATCTATACCAATTAAGAAATGACTAAATATATTATGGTAAACTCTCCTCTGATAAAATATCCTAAAACTATTAAAACTTTGGGAAAACACCATGAAACAATATTAAATAAAGACAGAAAGCAAAAATCTATATGGTATGTTTCCAGTGTTGTTTTCAAAAAAAAAGAACCAGCACAGCAAAGTGACTAAGAAGAAATACACCAATATAATAGCGGGTTACTGGTAATATATGTGATTTAATTTCCTTCATGGATTTTATGAGAAAATATAACTGAATAAGAGAATAATATGGATTTGCTTAATAAAAACTTTAATTAAATATTAGGTGGTCTCTCCCATTACTACCATACCCCCTTCCTTCCATCCCTGCCAAATAAAAGGGAAATAAAAACAGGTTAATTCCCTCACTGTGAATAGGAAAATAGTTGCTATTTTTATATCCTAATATGTGGCCCACTATAACAAAGCTTTGTTGATGTATACAATCAATTATTTTCAGTAATATTATTGTTCAGAAGTGTTTTTTTCTGCTTCCTCTCCAATGATTTATGAACAGGAAGGAAAAAAAGGGATGAGTTGTTGAAGATCTCTTGCTTCTTTTGTCCTGCCCTGAAGCAGTAATTAAGGTTTAACTCATTCATACTAAACATCCCAATCACCTCTGCTAGGAACACCAAAAACAAAAAGACTCAAATGATTCACTATCTATTACTAGAATAAAATAAAGCAATATTGGGCTTAGTAGAGAAAAACGATGAAGATAAGATTACAGTAACCTTTTACTTGCTCTGTTGAGAACATTCTTCTCATATTAAATCAACAGAGGGACTAGACACTAGCTTTTCATGTCTAAATCTACATGTATTTATCTATGCATCAAAATTCTATTACAACAAAACAATTTTGAATTTTGGAATCACAATGGTGATCTAATATTTCATTAGAACAAAAACTACTTTGATAATGTTTGATCATTTGTGTGAACATAGGGAGATGGCAGCATGGGTAATTCCTGACTAATTCATATTTGTCTTTGTTCAACTTTAGATTCACCTAGAGTAGAGAATGGCATAATTTTCATAGCTAGAAGGACTTAAAGATCATTTATTCTATCCTTGACATTTTGCAAAAGAAGAAACCCAGACCTAGAGAAATTAAGTGACTTAAACAAAATTCTAATGCTTTCTCAACTATAACATGCTCTTTATGATTAAAAAAGCTAGTAATATATATGTGGATTAAGAGTGGTCTATATATATAATTGGACAAAGAACTTACTAAAGAATAATCACTACTTGTACATATGTCATTCATTCTCATCTACCCAGACCTTGGCTCTACTGCTAGTTATAATTAACTGATAGAAAATATAATAGGAACTCCCACAATATATGATTCCTCTTACTGCCAAAGAGTGAGAATAGGAAAAAGAGGAATCTATTTAGCTGCTAAGACAATAAGGAAAGCAGAGGAAATAAGCTCTTTAATGAAAATATAGAAAATCAAGTAATACACTTCTTTCTTAACATCTAATGAATTCACAGCATGTCTATTCTAACTGAAGCCTCAGCTTTATTTTCACATGATATAATACATTTACATCATGAGCTAAGTAGTATTTTATGGGGCAGGTAGAAACCTAATGACCACATTTATCAAATTTTCTATGAATAAATATATGTTCAGTCTCAACAGTTAACTCACCAGATTTTAAAGATATAACCTACTCATAAATTAAGGATTGCCTGAATGTGTAAGAGACTTGAATCTACTCACATTTATATGAGAACATAAATACATATGTAAAAAGAAGAATAAACCAGATGATAAATAAGTGAACAGAAAAGTAAGTACAGGGAAACATATTTAATTATGCATACAAAGGAGAAAACCCTAAAAATATCAAGAGTAAAGAGTAATTTTTTTTCACCTTCCTAGGAATAACCACAAAAAATCATAATCATCTCTGCTTCTAAATATCTCCTGTCCCACTAATCAAACCCAAGCATTGTTATGGAGGACAGACAGTGACTAACTAAAAAAATCCATAGAATGGTAATTTCATACTATATTTTGACTGTCTAGATATATAAAGCAAAAAACATACCCGATCAGTAGTGGCAGCAGGATTTTCAAATGTATTCAGGTGACCAGTAATGTCCTTGAGATCTTGGGACATTCGTTTCAGCTGAGCATCTATAGTTTCTGCTAATTTATAACTGCAAAGGCAGGTAAATAAATTAACAAGAAATGTTGTCCCCATATCTACTGTTATTTACATACAAAGATAATACTGTCAACTGGATTTGTCTCAATTTCCCTACCTTCTCAGTGGGTATCAGTTATGACCAATGGCATATTTTTCATGGATACAATGTTCACCATCCTATTTTATGTAGATTTTAAAAGTAAAAGCTTTTATCTGCCTTGCCATTATTTTAATTTCACCTATGTACCATCTTGCTAATGCTCTGGTGAGCAAAGGAACTCTTTTTCTTTTTCTTCCTTTTTTTCCAGTACTGGGGTTTGAACCCAGAGCCTCATGCATGCTAGGCAAATGCTGTACCACTGAGCTATATCCCCAGTCTCAGAGGAACTCCCTTTAATGACAAAATACATCTATAGGACATTTAGATATCCAAAACAAGTTAGTGTTTAGCAAATTTCAAATGCTGAGATTTCTTCAATGGTCATAAATACATAGATGTCCAAGGTAAAACTTTATATAAATATATTCCACCAGGCAACAAAAGCTATTTTGTGAAATAAACTTTATAATTATAAAAGGTAGATAAATCTAAGTTCGAGACAAATTGATTAGTGGCCTACATTATCAATATTTCCATCCAAATTATTTACTACACCCACACACACAAACCCACACTTAACCTAGCCAATAAATGTTTACAAGAATTAAAGTGGCCAGACAATTTTCCACTTTAATGTCTTTAAAAATTAAAGACTCAATTAGATTTACTGGTAACCATCTGGCCCTTCTGTGTGAAAGTACTTATAGATTGCCTAAATTGTTGAGGATTATGGTGAAATTTTTATCACAATATAAATATGACTACAAAAGAGCAATTAGGAATTAATGTTACAAATATTTCTTCAAAGTACAGTTAAGATCTTATGAATAAAAATGTAACTGTTTAAAAAAAAAAGAGAATACACAGAATACAGGAAGGAAGGAAGGAAGGAAGGAAGGAAGGAAGGAAGGGAGGAAGGGAGGGAGGGAGGGAGGGAAAGGGAGATGGGCGGGGGGAGAGTGAAAGGATTGATCAACAAAGGCTGAAATACAAAAGAAGAAATAGAATTAGGGTCAGTACAAATTAGCTGTACTTACCACACTTAATGTCCCTACAAAAAAAGTTAACTTGAAAGCCTTTTTAAAAATGAGCTTAGCTGGGTGCAGTAGCATGCACCTATAATCTGAGCTACTCAGAGGCTGATGCAGGAGGATCACTTGAGCCCAGGAGTTCAAGGCCAGCCTGAACAAAAGCACCTCAGTCTTAACTCACTAATAAGCCATCAATAAAATAGTATCAATTTAGATTGTATAGTACATTCATTCAAAGTCTCCTTACACTCTTTAAATTGGACTGATTACTAAATCTCAGTTCCAGAGATAAAGTTACTCTGGAACACTGGCAATGAACTGACAGAAGGTAAAGACTAAATAGTACAGTAAATATACCTACCCTGAGACATTGACAAAAATCATTCCATTTTTGAAACTCATATAGTTTACCCCCAGTTTAACAAATTTGCCTTTAAAATAGCAAATAATTCATCACTAAAGCAATTGCATGAACATTAGGTTTAGACGAGTCAATATAATAGGAGACCATAAATATTCTATAATACTATGACACCACACACATAAAATTTATATTTCTAAATTTAAGAACAAACTTGACAAATATAAACTTTACAGTGGGCATACATTAGATTGAGATTAATAACAGTGTACAGAATACTATAAAACAAAATAGCCAAAACGATTTCTTCATTTTTGAGCTTTTGAAAAAAAAAAAAAAAAACCCACAAAATAGTCAAACAACTTGATAAAGGTCAACTGTAAGAACATCTCCTCTTCTACTAATACTTAATCTCTGCCTTCTGATTAAATTTTTCCCTGCTTTATGAACACTCTCATAGTAGGTAACTTCTTCCCCATTCCTCAACCTTTATTCAGTTACTTACATCCTCTCATACTCCTTATCTTCATGCTGCAGATAAACAGACTCACTTTGGTCCTTCACAGTCTTCTCTAAAGGAGTCAAAAGATTTTCTAGTTCCCTCTGCTGTGACAGGATAAAATCTAATTCTTGCTCCAATCTGAATAAAACAAGTCAATAGAAGAATCAATGAAAGGAACTCAGAATAACAAAATAAATATCAATAAACTACAACAAGGGGAAAATCTGAACAAAAAGATAGTTTTTTGTTCCTCAACCAAAGAAATGTAAGGTTCTACCTTTTCTGATCCAGTTTCACTTTTTCCACTTCTCCATGTAAAATAGAAATCTTTAAAGAGAAATAAGAAGAAAATAGAATATTTGAATTTACTCAATAACATCAGGGCAATATTAACTTTCTCATATACACTTTAAATATAAAACATTTCCTAATTCAGGGCACTTATTACCTAAGGAAAATATTTTTAAGCTGCTTGCCAACATTGCAATACAAAATTAACCACAAAACATAAATCTATTCTCTTGTGTTCGTCTGCAAATATTTGCACAATGCAGGTAGATTAATGAGAATATCTTCTTACCTCCTCAGCATTCTCCATCAATGTGCAGTCCCAAGCATTGACTCGAGTGGCCTGACGAAGAAAATACTTTTCTTGATCCTCTAGCTCAAGACTCCACTTGTTTATCAGACCATCCAGCTGACCATATGTCATCACTGGAGTTACTATTGAACTAAATAAATGAAAGAAAGCAGAATGACCATATTATCATACTTATGACCATATTTTAAAAACAGCACAAGAAGTCTAGAGAAGCAGTTAGCATGTGAGAAGTTTCTCATACCTGCTCCCCAACAAAAAAACATAAAGGGTAAGGATGACTTAACAACAACCATTTGAAATCTCTGGAAATTATCCTAAGGGGATATAGCAAGATAAAGGTTTATTAATAAATATGCAAAATCACAATAAGAAAAGTGAAAGTCTGTACCACAATGTGATCTCTCTTTCCTCATTCAGCTCAGCAAGATGAAGCTCCTTTCTGGGTGGGTGTGGCCAGGGAAATAGGACTCTTTCTCCCTAGCTCTTAGTCAAAGTAACCCATTCCTTATATTGAGTAGAATTCATGAAAGAATGTGTATCCACCCATACCAGGTGGAACCATGACAAACTCCAATTCCCCTGCCAAGTGGTATCAAAAAGGCTGATTATCCAGCTGAGATCTTTGATCCACTGAGAAAAAAATGCAAGGTCATGCTCTGATTCCTCTGCTGGGCTCAGTAAGAGGGTAACTGGCAAATCCCTGTCTGGCAAAAGCAGACAGAGTCCCAATTCACCACCCACTTTTGGTGGGATCCAATATAGCAAGATAAATCTAAATCCCCACCCAGCAACAATAAGACTTTAATGTGGCATAGTGAGTAGGATTAGTCACCATTAGACTTTACCACTTGCTTTGGTGTCAGTGGGACATAGTAGGGAACCTAACCTTTACATCTACCTGGCCTTATTAAGACTAAACAAGCTATGCAACTTGAGGATAGTAAGGGCTCCAATTTCTATCACCTGTGAGGTCAGCAAAGCTTAGGGGGAGCTTGACCTCCACACCCTCTGGCAAAAGCAAGACTGAAAGAGGCAGGGCAAAGCCAAGCTAATCAGCAATCTGTCCCTTCTTCCATGAGACTTGTGTCAGCAGTACACACTAAGAGCCAAGTCTCCATGCCAACACAGCATCGATGATGTTGAATGAAGTGGTATGAGGCTGAGTAACTGGCATCCTTCTTCTTCCTTCCCCTTATGTCAGTGGGGTGCAATAAGAAGCTGAAATTCTGATTCCCCCTATATCAATTATGTAATATGAGTCAGTCTACTTCCCCTTGATCTGGGGGCTCCAGGACCCAGAGTTTACATCCCCACTAAGAGGCAAGGAAGTGCTAAAATGCAGATGCAGTACATCACTTTCATGGAGAATAAGTCAGTGGAGCTAAGGGAGGTGTTGAATTTCCACATCAACCATGTGCACTGAGACACTGTAAGTGAGTCAGTGTTCCATTTCTGCTGAGGTGGTGTGAATAAGGTCCAGTGAGAAGCTAAACAAAAAGCACACCCATTCTTTGCACTATATCTCAACAAAGGGAATACCTAATAAAAAAAGTAGATATAAACTGGGTGCAGTGGTGCACACCTGTAATCCCAGAGGCTTGGGAGGCTGAGGCAGGAGAATTACAAGTTCAAAGCCCACCTCAGCAACTTAGCAAGGCCCTAAGCAACTTAGTGAGACCCTGTCTCACAATAAACAATAAAAAAGGGCTGGTGATGTAGCTCAGTGGTAAAGTACCCCTAAGTTTAACTCAAGTAGCAAAAAACAGAAAAGTAGATATAAATAGGACACAATATATTATACAAAATGTCAAGGACATAATAAAAACTATGTTATATAACTATCCAGGAAAATCACAACTTGAAAGAGAAAAGACAACTCAGATGCCAACATTAAGATGTATCAAATGTTGGAATTATATGAAAAAAATTAAAGTAACCATAAAAAAGCTTTGAACAGGGGCTGGGGTTGTGGCTCAGCAGTACAGCGCTCGCCTCGCATATGCGAGGCCCTGAGTTTGATCCTCAGCACCACAAAGAAATACAAGTTATTAAAAAAAACAAAATGGAAAATATAGAACTGGAAATAAAACAACTGAAATGACAAGCTCACTTTAAGAGTTTGATATTAGTAGAGTTGACAGAGGATACAATCACTGAACTTGAGGACAGGTAATTAGAATTTATAAAACAACAAAGAGAACATAGGCAAGAAAAAGTGGGGGCGGGGGGAGTCTCAAGGGCTGGAGGTAACAGTCATATATTAAAAATTCCAGAAAAAGAAGAAGGCGAGAACAGAACTAAAATTGTATTCAGGAAAAAACAGGCTGAAAAGTCCTCCAAATTTGGCAAAAGATACAAATGCAGAGATTCAAGTTGAATGAACCCCAAACAGAAAAACTCAAACAAATCCATGCTAAGACACAAAGTAATTACGTTTCTGAAAACTAAAGACAAAGGAAAAAAATCTTGAAAGCAACAGGAATGGGAAAAAAATGCATTACTTGGAAGGAAACAATCTGAGTGATAGCTGATCTCTTGTCTAAAACTATGGAGGCTAGAGGTAAGTAGCACATTTTTCAAGCACCAAAAAGATAAAAAAAAAAAAAAATGTGTTGACTAATGACTTCCGTATCTAATGAAAATGTCTTTTGGAAATTAAGAGAAAATAAAGATATTTTCATACAAAGTAAAATTAATTTGTTACTAATAAACTGACCCTTAAAGATTAGCTAAACTGAACGGAAATAAAAACAGAAGACTTGGAACATCATGTAAAAGAAAGAAGCTCATCAAAATAAGTAAAAAGAACAGTAAATATATTATTCTATTTCTATTACTATACTATATACTATTTCTATTACCATACTATTTCTATTACAGTAAATATACTATTCTATTTCTATTGAGGTTCTTCGTGATATTTCATGAGTCAAATAAAAATGTAACCCCATGCGTTACTATACTCTGTGTACACAGAAGAAACACTTGAGACAACTACATATAAAAGGTAAGGAGGGTAAAAGGAACTAAATAGAAGTAAGGTTTTTACATTTCAACCAGAGTGGTAAAGTTATAGTGTCACTAGATTATTATAAGTTAAGTTAACCCATGTACAGAAGCATTGAGTAAAAAAATTATATATACATATATTATATAAAAATTATATAATGCAATATATTAAAAAACACTATAAATAGAACAAGGTAGAACCATCAATTGATGGTTGAACAATATTCAAACAACCCAAAAGGTTGGGGACTTTTCAAATTTTACTTTCCTGAATATGCTTTTAGTCCTGTTCTCTCTTCCTCTTTTACTGGAATTTTTTTTTCCTAAATATTTTTTTTTAGTTGTAGTGGATACAGTATCTTTATTTATTTTTATATGGTGCTGAGGCTGGAACCCAGTGCCTCACACGTATGAGGCAGGAGCTTTACCACTGAGCTACATACAACCCAGCCCCTTTTCCTGGAATTTTTTTTTTTTTTTTTTTTTTTTTTTTTTTTTTAGATACTAGGGATTGAACTCAGGGGCACTTCAACCACAGAGCCATATTCCCCAGCCCTATTTTGTATTTTATTTAGAGACAGGGTCTCACTGAGTTGCTTATCATCTCACAGTTGCTGAGACTGGCTTTTTAACTCATGATCCATCCTCCTGCCTCAGCCTCCTAAGCGTCTGGGATTACAGGCATGCACCACAGTGCCCAGCTAACTTTTAATATACAAATATTACCTGTTTTATTATTATCATTCTCCAGGTTTTAAAAAAAGAAAATCAAAAGAATAAAAATCAAAAGTAACAAATAATAAAACATCAGACTTAAACCCAACTTATCAATGATTACTTTAAATGTCAATGTGCTAAATATACCAATTTAAAGGCAGATTGGCAGAGTAGATTAAAAAAAAAATCTAGCTGCAGTGGCACCTGCCTGTTATCAGACTTGGGAGACTGAGAAAGGAGGATTGCTAATTCAAGGCTAGCCTCAACAAATTAGTGAGAACCTGTCTCAAAATAAAAAAAATATATATATAAGCAGGGCTGGGGATGTGGTTCAGTGGTAAAGCACCCTTGTGTTAGATGTCCAGTATAATACAAACAACAACAAAAAAATCCAACAACATACTATCCACAAGAAGCTCACCTCAAAGATAAGGACAGACAGGTTGAAAGTAGAAGAATGGGAAAAGATGTGAAATTAATTTTTAAAAATAAATGAGGAGAAACTTTGAGAACTAGAGCTAGACAAAGTGTTTTCTTATAATTGAAACTAAAAGCACATATCTGCCAAAGGACTGGTATCTAGACTACATAACAACTTCTCAAAACTGAACAATAAAAAACCAAATAACAAAAGTAGAAAATGTACGAAGATATGAATAGACACTTCACCAAAGAGGACATAACAATAGAAAACATATACTTAAAGAAATGATCTACATCTTTAGTGATCAGGGAAATATTAATTCAAACTACAATAAGGTATCACATCACATTTATCAGAAGGGCTGAAATAAAAAATAGTGACAACAAACCCTGACAAGAATATGTAAAATCTCTATCACTCAATCATTGCTGTTAAGTATGTAGAATAACACAGCCACTCTGAAAAAGAGATTGCTAGTTAAAAAATTAACATAAAAACTTTCAAACCACCCAGAATCAGCATTCCTAGGCATTCATCTTAGAGACATGAGTTATATGTTCACAAAAAGACCTGTACATGAATGTTTTTACCAGCTATGCTCATAGTAGCCAAAAATACTGAAACAACCTAGATATCCATCAACAGGTGAAAGAATGTTTAAATAATGATATACAACAATGCCATAGAGTACCACTCAGAAATAAAAAAGAACAAATGATTGATTGATGCACATGAAAACTTGGCGGGGGTGTCAAGGATTTACACTGAATGAAAAGAGCCAATCAACAATGTGTAACATTGTTGAAATATCCTGATAACAGCAATGAAGATCACATTAATTGTTGCCCAGGGTAAGGGAAAGGAGAGGGGTAGTGAATGTGGCTATAAAAGGGTGACAGGAGGAATCCTTGTAGTGAAGGACCCATTTCATATCCTGACTACATCCATATCAATATCCTGGTTATGACACTTATACTATAGTATTTACAAGATGTTATTGTTGGGGGAAAAATAAGGAGATACCGGATATTTTGTAAAGTATGTAGGAATATAGACTCTAGAGTTTGTCTCAATTTTAATCCTGGCTCAACTGTTACCTAGTACCTGACTATAAGCAGATTATAAAATCTTTATGTGCTCCAGTTTTCTCATCTATAAAATGGGAACAAAAATAGTGTCTATCTCATAGGTTATTGTGAGGATTAAATCATATGATATTTTTAAAGCACTGTTATCTTACTAAACAGAGTAACTGCACAATAAAAGTTGCTATTATTAGTAATATTAATAATTGTATTATAATGGTATTCAGAAGGCCCTTGGTTATTCAGCTTCCTAAATTACAGAAATTGTTCTGTGTTTCAAAAACTCATATATCTAACTTTCTAGTATTTTCTAAGGCTATACAAGCAAACTATGCCTTGTACATGATAAAATGAAACACAAAAGGAATTTTCAAATAAATAAGCTTACTTAACAGTTGAAGTAAGAGGTACAGAAGAAACACTGACTGGATCAGTGTTATTAATCCCAGGGGATGTCAGTGGTCTTAGATTCAGGTTAAAGCCACTTGTAATTGTGGTAGTAGTATTGGTGGTAACAGTGGTGGTGGTAGTTGTTGAAGTTGTAGCTGGAAAACAAAATATACAATGTTAGTAAGAAATGAGAACTTGTTTCACTTAAGCCTTGATCATTCAAGGTTAAAAACCAGAAAGTCATTTGTTAAGACATGAATTTGAACTTAAGTCTGTGGATTTTAACTTAATTCTGTTATAATATAAGTGATATATGACAGGCCAGGTATCTGGATTAACCTTCCTGATGAAAACTAAAACCCCTACATAAATTCATTGGAAAAAAACCCATATCTTAGCTAGCCCCATAAAATTAAAGAAACTAAATAAATCCTCAACACTCTTCCACAGAAAAACTCTAGATCTTGATAACCTCACTAGTAAGTTTTACTAAACTTTCAAGGAAAGGATAATAACAATTTATGCAAAATCTCTGTACATTTTTTGCATACTTATATGACTATCTGTGTATTTAACTTCTACAAATGAAATTGCTAGATGAAAGGGTAAGAATGCTCTAAATTTTAATATATCACGTGAAACTGCCCTACCAAGTTGACTTTGCCAATATACATTCCTATCAACAGGGGAAAGTGACTATTTCTCTATATCATACCTAAAATAGGCATACATCTTTGCAAACCCAATAGGGAAAGTCTACTAAAGTTTTATCTATAGGCCAGACCTCTTTTGTACATCTTTTTCCATTGCATCCCTACAGAACACCTTGCCATCTAATAGATGAAATCCTAAGTATACTTCATAGCCTAACTTAACTTCTTTGTTCCCCATGTTTATCACCCACTTCTCACCTACTCATAGTTTTGTATTGTTTTTCTGAACTTTGACAGCACTTTTGATTCTTACTATACATCGAGAACTTAAAGAATAATGTACAGAAATTGTGGCTGCTGGGGACTGGCAATGTTTTATTTTCTTCATATTTTCAAAATGTTCCTATAATTAAATACTACTTCTATAACATGAAATTTGTTATAAAAATATAACATGTATGCAATTATTTGTTTTATATTACCCATGCTTTCTCAATTAGTAATGCTTTTATGTTAATGGCTACATTAGATAAATATGGAAATGATGATGCATGACACATGCACTACTTTAAGAGAGTCTGGCCTCCCCAGTTCTTGCTAAGGGAATAGGTTCTGTCTTTTGTTCCTGGTTCACATTGGGCCAGGGATGGGCATACATAGTACAGGAAGCCATCCCATATGCTACTACCTTTGGAAGGGTATAGCACAAAAAGCTCTCATCAAACAGGGATAAAATGGGATAGAATCTCAGTTTTAAAAATTATGGGAGAATCTGATTCTAGGTAGAAACATGGAAAAACTTTCAGAAACAAGAATCAGAAACTGAAAAATATTTCCTAAAATGTAGAAGGAAGTTGTGGGTAGAGGGAGTTAAAAAGACAGAGAAAAGATATGAGACAGTAATAAGAGACAGTAAGTAAATAATAAATTAGAAATAAGGTAAAATAGGAAGGCAGCAAAATAGATAATGAAACCAATGGGAAGTTTAAAAAGAGAAAAAGCAGATAAATGAAAAACAACTGAACTACATTTTTACAAGATTTGATTTAGGCAATCCCTAAAGCTGCCTTATGCACAATTCCTGAGAATTTTCTTGAAGTAACAGTGCCACACCAATGTCTGTACTAGATTTTCATAAAATTCAGTTTCTCTTTAGGCACAAGGATTCTTACAACAATTCCCATTCTCTGTTAGCCCTTGTGAGGGTAAAATTAACACTGCAGAGGAAAACCATGCCCAATCACAAAATATCTCTGGCATCACTATCAATGAGAACACTGGAAAGATTACATATTGGATCTTGGATGGCATTCTTTTTTTAAATATTTATTTTTTAGTTGTAGTTGGACACAATACCTTTACTTCACTTATTTATTTTTATGTGGTGCTGAAGATCAAACTCAGGGTCTTGCACATGCAAGGCGAGCACTCTATGGCTGAGCCTGAGCCTGAGCCCCAGCCCTAGCCCCAACCCCAGCCCCTTGGGTGGCATTCTTTACAGCCAAATGTGATCATTTTCTTCATCTGAGAATAAAAACATTATCTGAAAGAAAATCCTTCCCCCAGAAAAGCTGAAAATTAATGATACTATTAAAAGATCCACTTTATCAATTAATTCACTCGAAAATAGTAACTATTAGATTCAAAAAAAAGAAAAAAATGTAAAAGAGTTCTTCATGTAAAGGAAAATATACTCATCCAAAAAGGATTATTTAATAATCTGTATTTCCTGAGATGAATAGATGCACAAAGATGTATACTTAAGAGAAAACAGCAAGTTCTTTGTAAATTGTATGCAATGATTCTGTTTTTATAAAACAGATTTAATGTATGTTTATATGCTTTAAAAAGAGGGCTGGAAAGATAAACAAACTGTTCTCTCCAGCAGGAGTCATACATGTATTTATGAGTTTTTTTTAAAATAAAAACCAACTAGCATCACCACAGGAAAAGAAACAGCTAAATAGACAACACAAAATACCTCCCCCAAAGATGCTGAATGATATCTTCAGGAAATTAATACCTGTCAGCCTAAACATAAAGGAATCTGAATCTTATAAAAATGGTATTATTATTTTGACCTTTGTGTATAGTACATCTTTTGTTCTTCATCTTTCATGCTATTTTAAAGGCATAAATTAGGTCTTACATATTAAAATAACGATAATATTTCGATTAATATCAAAAGAAGCAATGGAAAACGTGAAATGGAAAGAGTGAAGGTTTTATCACAGTCTGATTTTGCAAGTTATAATCTTGTTCTAAACCATGTAATATAGTCAATTCTATATTATCTATGTAATCAAGGGGAAGTACAATTCTGTAGATTATAAAAAATAAATGCATACCAAATTTGGAATTAACATTTTAATAAATTTCATTCTGATGATCTTAAAATCATTATATAAATTATATAAAATAGTAAAAAATATTCTTTAAAAGATCCTATTATTCAATTTTCCTATCCTGTACCTATCAAACAATTTTACTCCATGCTGGGATTAGACATTATCACCTTCTCAAACTCATAGGAAAAATGAGATTGATTTTTTTGAAAAGAGCAAGCTTCTCTTAAAACTTGATGATTATACCTGGGACAGAGAGTAATGCCAAAGACCTGTAAGTCTGCAAAACAGGCACTTAAAAGCTGATAAGCAATGCTAGCAAGAGGGATGAATATACAGAATTATAGTCAATCAAAGGAAAATCCAATTCAACTTAAAAACTAGAAATAAATCAAAATGACAAGAAAAAAAACATCTCTCAATAATAACAATCAAAAGACATAGGCTGAGGCTGGGACTGTAGGTCAGTGGCAGAGCGCTTGCCTAGCATGTGTGAGGCACTGGGTTCCATCCTCAGCACCACATAAAAATAAATAAATAAAATACAGGCATTCTGTCCATCTACAACTCCAAAAAAAATTTTTTTTAAAGACATAGGCTGGTATATTGGATTAAAAAACAAGACCCAACAATATGCTGTCTCCATGAAACTCACCTCATGGGCGAAGACATCCACAGACTGAAATTGAAAGGATGGGGAAAAAACATCACTCACATGGATCATGTAAACATGCAGGGGTTTCTAATCTCATAACAGATAAAGTGGACTTCAAGCCAAAGTTAATCAGAAGGGATCAAGAAGGGAAGTCATACAATGACAAGAAATAACAACTGCAAATATTTATGCCCCCAAAAAAGAATACCTATGTACATCAAACAAACCCTTCTCAATATCAAGAATCAAATAGACCAAAACATTATAATACTGGGTGACTTTAACATGGCTCTCTCATCACTAGATAGATCTTCCAAACAAAAACTTAATAAAGAAACCATAGAACTAAAAATTACAATTAATAATTTAGACTTAACAGGCATATATAGCATTATTTATCCATCAATGACTGAATACACTTTCTTCTCAGCAGCACATGGAACATTTTCTAAAACAGAACATGTCTTTGGCCATAAAGCAAGAGTTAATACTCTGTATTCTACCAGATCATAATGTGATAAAATTAAAAATCAACAATAAGATAAAAAAAACAGAAACTGCTCTAAGCTGGATACTAAATAATTCACTATTAAATGATGAATGGATAGGAGAAGAAATCAGGGTGAAATGAAAAAATGTTTAGAAGTTAATGAGAACAGGGATACATCATAGAAAAATCTATGGGACACTATGAAGGTGGTTCTAAGAGGAAAGTTCATCATTAAGCTCATACATTAAAAGAACAGAAAGGTACCAAATAAATAATCTAAAATTACATCCCAAGGCCCTAGAAAAAGAGAAAAATAATTCAACACCAAAATCAATAGAAGATAGGAAATAATTAAAATCAGAGCCGAAATCAATGAAATTGAGATTTAAAAACAATGAAACAAGTTAGTTATTTGAAAAAAAAATAAACAAAATTGATAAACCTTTAGCCAAGTTAACCAAGAGAAAAACTCAAATGATTAAAATTTGTGATGAAAAAGGAAATATCACCACAAACACTATTGAAATAGGATAATCAGAAATATTTTGAAAATTTATACTCCGATAAGCTAGAAAATCTTGAAGACACTGACAAATTCCTAGAGATATATGACATACCCAGATTGAATCAGGAGGATATAGAAAATTTAAACAGACCAATTTCAAGTAAGAAAATTGAAGAAGCCATCAAAAGCCTACCAACAAAGAAAAGCCCAGGATGGATTCTCAGTAGAGATCTACCAGACCTTTAAAGAAGAACTAATACCAATCCTCTTCAAATTATTCCATGAAATAGAAAAGGAAGGAACTCTTCCAAGCATAATCTATGAAGCTAGTATTACCCTGATACCAAAACTGGACAAGGACTCATCAAGGAAATAAAACTTCAGTCCAACATCCCAGATAAACACAGATACAAAAATTCTTTATACTGGCGAATCACATACAAAAACACATTAAAAAGATAGCGCATCATGATCCCATGGGTTTCATCCCAAGGATGCAAGGCTAGT